GTTATTGTTTAAACTTGAGATCTCTTTTAAAATGTCACTGTTTTCATTCCAAACCTATATATATGTTAGTTGTGAAATGAGACCGACCGTTTGCTATGTTTTTCAAACCTTGTTTGAGTTGAGAGGATTTTACTACAGAGCTTCGTGCTCACCCCCTACAAATAAAAATTTTTCAGATTTCACACTTGAGGAGGAGTTAGGAGCCGAGGAGCCCACCCATTGGAAGACTCCGCTTGACGGGGATGTGGATCCCGAGGTGGACGCTTAGAGCGACACTTTTATTTTGTTCTAGACTAGATTATGCTTCCTTTTGAACTCTAGTTCATTTCTGTTATTTTCGCTGCGTTATATTATTACATTTTGGAGATGTAAAGGCCAAGATTAGACCTATTAATTTGGGATGATAGTGTGGATATGACATATGATGAATGCAAGTTTATTTTATGATGGAAAAATGGACCCGGTGTGGTCAATAGTTATGCATATGTGGACCCGGTGTGGTCAATTGTAATATAATTGTACAGGTTGTGTTTTGGGTAGAGCTCCCCGTACAAAGGAGACTCTGCCCAAATTTTGTTAAAATATGAATGGTTGATGAATGAAACTTTCGTCGTGATGAATTTTACTTAATGCTCTCATACGGTAAATGATTTTTAGAATGTAATGTCACCCACGGGGGTTTTTGGGGCGTTACAGATACACCAAATATGTACGATACGTGACAATTCTGTCTTTATTTTTTGGGGGAGTTGAAATGACATCATTTTCCTCTATGACTTATTTTTAAATCACTAGCTAGTGAAATAATGTCGTTTCAGTGATTATAGCTTTAAAAAAAAAATAAAGTCTAATGTTAATGTTGTTCAATTAAATTCAAAATTTCTAATTAATGTTAAAGTTGTTCAAGCATTCGATGTTAGAAATTTAAATTAGAGGTTTTTGCATTTTGATATTACTGAACTAGTTCGAAACTTGAATAGTTCGTGGAATATTAATGAAATACTATGTTATTATGAGTCTATGACTTTTTTATAAAGGTATATACATATATTTTATTAATAATTATTTAAAAATTAAAATTACGCGTATCTTACGATACATAAAACGATACACTATTTTTAAAAAACGATACACCTTCCGATACACAATTTGACAACTATGGTTATCAAATGTTCATCTTCCCTATTTAAAATTAGTGTTTACAACATGAGATCATATGCCGCAGCAAAATGCGAGACAGACTACCTAGCATAATTCTTATTTCTAAACCCATATCTATGACCATTAAAGTTTTCTCCATGCATGCTTTCCTAGTTCGGAACAAGACCCGACAGAAGAGTGGAGTCATTCTCTTGACCCCAAAATCTAGTTTTGATTCAAATCCCTCCTCAACACGATGTCTTAAAGACCTTAAAGAGAATTCAACTAAAGAGGTTCTAGAAATTTTCTTGTAGCTAGGGCTTTCTTTATTTGTAGATAAGTCAAAATCGACAGCCTTGCACATTAGTCTCAGGGAAGACAAGTCTCTATACTCCACTCGAAATTGTATATCCCTCCTACCGGTACTTCTCGCATTAGTTTATCCACATGTGCACAAGTTTTAATATGACAATGTAATAATACTTATGATCAAGGTTATTTGGATCGCAAGTCGATTTATTACGTGGTTCAGATTCGGGTATGTAGGATGATACTCTTTCCAATACGTTGCACGATAGAGCTAGACTTCTTTGGTACACTGTTTTCAGTTGTAGTTTGCTTTGTGAATCGTTTTCACCATTAAATGAAATTATTTGTAATTACATATCCATGTAAACAAAAATATTTCTGAGAAGAGTTCCAATGCAAACTACAATGAAAAAAAACTCTACCCCGTAATGGTTGTAAATTATAAGAGGTAGTATATTTATATTATGAAAAAAAAAATCAAAATCAAAACAAACCAAACTATAAAATTTTAAAGATCACCAAAAAATAAAAAATAAATAACTTGTAATAGTTACACTTTGGGGTTATTTGAATCATGGGTTGATTTAGGGTTTAAGTTATAATTTGGGATCAAAAATATGAGGAATCTGAGTCGCTAAAACACTATTTGAATCATACGACCAAAGTTCGTGAAACGCTTCAGATATCCACAATCATGGTATGGAGGCTTACGATGGACAAACATTATCAAAATATTAATTACATTCTCTTCCATTACAAACTTATATTAATATTCTTCAATCTCGTTTTCTTAAAACAATTACGACTTCTTGGTTAAGATGTTGATTTGTTATTATTCCAACTCTACTTTTATGCCTATTTTTTTCCGGTATAACAAATTTTATAACTTACAATTTCTATTTCTCTTACTTTCTCTTAATTTTATGTACGCATCCTACATTGTTTTTTCTCATGATCATAGTTTTAACTAGCTCTATTTCTTTATCTACTAGTGTTCTTATATTTCTCGTTCACCAACATTGGTGTTCTAGACTAGTTTCTATACTCAAGCTCATCCAAAGTAACGCTCTCGCACATTTTTCACCACATTCGGATAACTAAAATGTGGGGTACCTTGCCCATTTCTCGAATCCCTAGGGTTCAGTGCAATGCATCAGCCCCAACCTTTATGTATATACTTCCAGAAATTTATGTCTATAAAAGATTTGACAAGTTTTACAGTGACTGTCAACAACCTAATCGAACCCTACTTTACTCGGGCTTGGGGCTGTTATATAAAAGGCAGGCATAAAGCATGACATAGACCATAAAATCTGCAAATTTTGTTGCCTTCCTAGCATTTACGCATATACTTCCAGAAATTTATGTTCATAAGAGATTTGACAAGTTTTACAGTGACTATCAACAACCTAATCTGACCCTACTTTACCTGGGCTTGGGTCGCTATACAAAAGGTAGGCATAAAGCACAACAAAGAGCACAACAACGGCTAATTTTGGTGCCTTCCTCTACATGTCTATTTATGTTTGCTCATATTCTATCCTTTTTTCTAGCAAGTCATGTTTAAACTAGTCCATCCTCCTCAATACGACAGCGTCCTCTAAATGCATTCTACCATCCTTTCTAGGATGCTCATGGACTATGAAGCATAACACTATCAACTTCCTCCTCGGCTATAATGAATTGTATCTGCCACAAGTAGGTTATGAAATAATGAACGATTTGATCATAAAACCAAAGGTAAAATATATTAGACTAAAAAAATTCAAATAACTACAAAAAACCTATTGTGCTTTCTTTTATATCGTTATAGCTCAACCAAACCTGGAAAAATATTTACTCTCAATGTCACAAATATTGCATAAAATTGTCAAGCATTCAGATGATTAGACATGGTAACTAAAATGTAGGATTATAATGTCTGTACCCAGAAAATTTCACATGGACTTCACCTATTGCTGCAATCACCCAGATGGAATAAGAACAAACAACAAAAGAGGACCACAACAGGTCAAACAAATTTTCAGCTAATTAGATTTTTAGCCAGAGAAAAAAATTTGTTTGCTGGAAGTTTTGATATCTATTAACTTGACATACTGTTTAGTACTGGTAGAGAAGTGGGTAACTGCACTTCTATATAAACTGGAGCACAGCTACCTGTGATATAAGAACTTGGGATATCTTTGGTGCATATTCTGCCATTGCATTATCAAATTGCTTGACATCCAAACGCCCCAATAGAAGGGATAAGCAATTTAGAAAAAACTTCATGGTCTCTGTCCCGCTGTCTTTATGATCAGTATGTTGTTCACTATAGTTGTCTGCATAAACCTGCATATGTTGTCTCTCAGAAACTAAACTTGAAATGAATACAAAACGGAAGTACACGAGTGACAGTAACTACACCTCCAAGCTACCTCCCTGCCTACTTTAGGACTAATAGACAGTTAGACCAAAAAAGGGAACCAAAAAATTATACTTCATATTATCTACCACATGGTCAGAATATATCAGGTGGTTCTGCATTAGCTTTTGTTTACCTTTATTTCCTTTCCGACGCTAGAAAAGACCAATGACAAAGATATAAACATTGAAGCCAATCAAAACACAACAAAGTCACAAGAGTTCCATAATGATATATATGTATACCTCATTAGATGAATTACAAACATTGCCATTAGTTCCAAAGGTGAGATGGAGCAGACGTCTGGTTGTAGTCTTCTAACAATGCTTAGGGTCTAAATATCAGCTGACCACATGAAAATGCACCATATTTGCTTGCATGCTAGAACAACAATTATCAAGTGAAAAACATCTAATCTTTTGACTAGACTATTTTAGACTCCGATGACAAATAGAAATATAGATTTAAGAGCGAAACAAAAACATAGTTTTGCCACATATACTGTGTTGAACCAAGGATCAAAATTTTGTGTCGGTGCATAATTTCGATCATCTCAAAAACAAAAATGTCTTCCAAATGTTTCAAAAACATAATGGTAACCTAGAAATTTGGAAATTTGTTTCCGATAAATATCAAAACATCCCGAAACACCTCAAAAAACATGAATGTCTGATTTTTAATCACTGATTCGTTGTTTAGGTTGTTTCGATGTAAACGAAACAAAATTTTGATCCTTGCATCACAAAACAAACCATAGGCACGGATTATGTGTTCTATGCTTCTAATCCATCTCTTTACTTTGTAACATATGATTCTAGATCTTGATGTCATAATCAACATGAAGAGAGAATTTTAATTAGGCTGAGCCAAACAAAAGTTCATGTCATGTGTCATTAGAACATTGCTTTCTCTTCCTCTTTCACCCCTATGTCGCAACAGAAACATTGGCATTCAAATATTTCAACTTCATACATCATTTTTGACAAGCACTGTTCAACAATTAAATGTGCATTATTGGGACGGTGTATGCAATTAAATCCCCTTTTTGTCAAGTTTGCTTTCAGTTTTTCCTGTTAAAAAAACTACAACAATTTTTTATGGCTCAAAAGGAGATATTCGGCTCTGATAGAGTACCGGACCCGCCAAACTATCCGGGCACATATGGTCCCCAAATTTCGCATGCACCAGGTATATGCCAGATTCTTCCCAAAGAAATAGCTCCAAAGAGAAAACTCGAGCTCAAAACATCCACCTCCTTGAAGTGGGATTCTGGCCATCTTGTCCACACCTTAGGTTTCAACAAAACATTTATATAACATGGGATTTAGACATATACCTGAATTAAATCCTATCCGATTATAGATAACAAAGGATGGAAAGTGATAGCACAAGGAATATTTAGGAATGAAAAAAAGATAATTTTCGTGCACATGTTTTTTGTAGTGGTAAAGTTTGCAATGTTATTCATGATGGGGATAGCAATGAGAACATCATTTCAAAGGAGGCCGTAGAAAAGTTGAAGTCACCAACCGAAAAGCACCCTAATCCTTATAAGGGTGTGTGGTTAAGAAGAGGAAATGAGATATTGGACCGGTTACTTCTCATTGCAAGGTTAAATTTACTATGGGTATTGATATTGATATCGAAGCTTGGTGTGATGTGGTGCCTATGGATGAATGTCATATTCTTTTGGGGAATATGTAGTTGTATGATAAAGACATGGTTCAGTATACAAAAGTCAATACCTATTCCTTCAAGGGAGGTAGTAAAAACCTAACTTTGCACCCTCTAAGGAAGAAGCTACAGTTTTTCCTAATGCTAGCAAGGTTAATAGATTTTTGACTTCCAAAAATTTGAAGTGGAGAGCATTACCTATGCACTGGTAGGTAGAAGTGTAACGGAGAAGGCCCAACTGATTGAATTTCTTGATTATCCACTAGAAATTCAGTGACTAAAAAAAGATTTTCAGGAGCTGATCAATGATGAGTTACCGTGAGGTTTGCCACCAATGATGAGTTGATCAGCGATGATGAGTTACCATGAGGAGCATTCAACATGTCATTGATCTACTACAAGGTGCAACTTTACCTAATCTATCGGCTTACAAAATGCCACCAACACATAGGGCTGAAATGTAAAAACAAGTTGAAGGGTTGCTTGACAAAAGTTTCGTGCATGAAAATAAAGGCCTGATTGGTTTGCATCTCAAAAAACAATATCCGAAATAATTTTTTAAAAGAATTTTAAGAAAGTGTTGTTGAAAATTTTAGATTGCAAAACCTGTTTGGTTATATATTTTTTAAAATAGTTTTAAAGAACGAAAAATTGTAAAATCTTTTTGGGCAATAATCCACAAAACCCATAATTCTCATCTCTATCTTTTTTTTTCCTCTCTTTGTCTTCACAAAACCCACACACACACGCACACACAAACATAAACACACACACACGCATAAACACACAAACACAAACTCACAGATCCGTGATTCAAATCTATGTAGATAGAGAATGAAGAAGACGATTTGAGCACACAGAGAACGAAGAAGACGATTTGAGCACACAGAAAACGGAGAAGCCGATCTGAGCACACAGACAGAGAACGGAGAAGACACCGTTGTTTCCCATCAAGTGAAGGGCGTCTGAGTACACCGTTGTTTCGTTGCACAGCATCGTCTGAGCATGACATCGAGTGAAGATTGTCTGAGAACATCGTTGTTTTGTTACACAGCGTCGTTGCAGAGAAAGAAGGGAGATGGAGAAAACATCAAGTGAAGGATTTTTATATTTCAACAGAAAAAAATACATTTTATTGCTAAGGAAGTTTGATGGGTAGACCTCATTAAATAGGAGAGGTTGTTTCCCTTATTTTCTATTTTAGCCTGAAAACTCAGAAAATATCATTTTATTATTTTCTAAAATCATAATTCAATTCTCAAAATTTTCAAAAAATTGGAGAACAAAAACTCTAATCAAACAACATCTCTCTTGTTTTTAGAGATTTGAGAACAAAAAATTGTTTTATAAATACAAACCAAACAGACCCTAAATGTCCTTGTGCTACCCCAACTTTACTTGCACCCAAAAAGAATGGTTCATGGAGAATTTGTGTGGATAGTCGTTTCATAACCAAGATAACTGTGAAGTACCGCTTTCCAATCCCTTGCTTGGGAAGACATGCTTGAAATGCTCGCTAAATTATAGGTGTATTCCAAGATAGATTTGAGGAGTTGATATCATCATATTCGAATGCAGAGTAAAATGAGTGGAAGACTACTTTCAAAAGACACCGGATGGACTCTTTGAGTGGTGCCATTTAGACTCTCTAATACTCTGAGTACATTTATCCAAGTTAGGACAGAGATACTTACACCTTACTTGTGATTATTTGTTGTTGTCTACTTTGATGATATATTAATATATATTCGGACTCGAGAGGAACATTTAGTCCATTTACGTCAAGTCATGGAGGTTCTTCGCAAGAAATTGTGCCACGAAATTGTGTTTCTTCGCTTTATTGTTTCAGCAAATGACTTACAAGAGCTATCAAGGAGTGGTCAACACCATAATATATAGGTGATGTCAGTTTATACGGAATTTCAGTTCTATTATGAGTCCAATCATAAATATTTGAAGGCAGTTGATTTTTAAGTGGTCAAAATCAGCTAGTGAAAGTACATGGATTGCCGAGGAGGAATTTAAAGTTATTGATACAGTGGTTTACGCTGAACTAGTGGAGACTTTCTCGCTGGAGTCTAGTTTCTTCCAACCCAGAGGAATCGATGCAGGAGCCTCCAAGAGTCTTATCAAGCACAAGCGAGCCCACTAATAGGCTTTACTTAATCTCTAGTTAGCAGATTTTTCTAGTTATCTTTTTATTTTCTATAACATTTTATATTTATGTGTCTTATAGATGGTACGTACCTAATCTTTTTACAAAGTCAAGTGACTGTCTTGTGAGTTTTTAATTATCTTGGAAGGCTAGGATTAAAGAGTTATTAAGGTGATCAAGGGTTAAAGATGCTAGGGCTGTTGTGACCATTATGAGTTTTTGTAGCAGTTTTTTCTTATTGCTATTCCAGAAAATTCACAATTTCAGTTCTTCTTCGGTCTCTTGCCCTAGAAATTCATATATTCTCATTCCGTCTTTGATTCTAATGCTTTTTCATATTATCTTCTCATTGTAAATTCATTAAAAGATGTTAATTCTTAGTCAAAATAGCAATTTACAGCAAATCTGAGAATTTTACTGCATCACATATCTACTTGCATACACATACCAAAAGATTCATTTTTAGCATCTCCTAAGTTCCAGTTCAAAACAAAACATCTTCCACGTTCTAACATTTTTCGATCACACCATCTAAACCAAAAAAACCAAATAGTTGCATACATTTGTGTTCCACAAACAGAAAACAGAATATCAACAAATGCATATCCAAGAAATATCAAATTGCAACTCCCAGCATCTCTCAGACTCGAGGTGAATACCACAAAAAATACATAATCTTACTCAAAGTAATATCTTGTAAACTTAACCTGAATTCCAGACAAGTAATCGTCCAACAATACTTTGTAATCCTGAGAAAATTTGTAATTTTCCAAGTGCATGAGCATGCCATAATGTTTCCAACAAGAAGAGAGAAGTAATGCTCCAGTCTTCAGCATTTCTGGACCTGTGATCCATGTGGGAAACAATAATATTCAATGCACATAACTTAGAGGCAAAAAGGATCTACTGAACGCTTAAAACATGTGACAGTAATCACACCTGCCTCTTTCTGAAAGCAACCATAATGTTGTTTTGTCCCTTGCAACCACTTAAGCACTCTCTCCAATCCTTTTGTATGCAAAGACCGGCTTTTCCTGTTCCACTGCATAGCACAAATAGATTGAAAAGTTATTTAACTTAGACGTTTTCAGCATTTCACAGATTGAATAAGCCAACATTAGAAAGTAGTTACATATATTTCACAATCACTTCAAACTCAGCTATATAAATTTATACTGTGCATATTCTTCCTAATCTTATGAGTATTAATTTCCTGGATAAGAGAGGAACTAGATCCAAGCTGAGTGTAATCTTCAAATGACGTTAATTTTTCTCAGAGATGGAACAAGATATCTTTCGTTTTCTGGGGAATTTAAAAACACGAGCCTGCTGCCCATCAGACTTGAAGATCAAATAAGATACAAGAAACTGGATATTATAACTTTCAAACGGGAGAAATAGTTGGGCATTATCTGAGGAAATCTAAAGCTAGTCAAAAATCACTGATAGGAGATTACTAGAATAAATTGTCCAAGACAACCAAAAGTGTTACCTCTTTCCATGTCCTCAATACTCCACCAAAATGTATACTTAAACCCCCACCTCCCTAAAACATTCGTCAGTGTTCGAGAAGGAAGAGTTCCCAAATAGAACTCTCCGGGGAACAGTGAGGCAAATTTTCCTTCCTCTTCACCTCGTCATACAGGTCCACTCAATTAATATTTCTTCCTCTGCACCTCTTGTCATATAGGTCCATACTAAAGAACATTACATAAACAACAAAAGATTGAACATAAACAGAACAAGCACAAGATAATCAGCTTAGCTGGACAGAGCCTTGCTAGGACTTTTAGACTTTTTTTTTATTTTTTTCTTTTATTTTTTACAAATTACACCTAGGGGGAATTTTATTGATTTTTAAAATGAATTACACCTAGGATAGACTTATGTATCTTACCCCTCGATGCAATCTAATTACAGGGGAAAACATATTTAAAAAAGTAAGACAAATATGCATGCTGAGTACATAAGAATGAATAAGGAAAAGGCCCAAGCATGATGTCTTAAAATCCTCGAAGGACCAGCTGAGAAGAAGATCCAGCTAAGGAGCGCCAAAAAGATCCAGCTAGGACTATTAGATGGCTCCACATCGCCATCCCTTTCTTTCTCCCTTTTCCTTCCATTAAAAGGGGAGGTGATGCAGGAGCATCCAAGAGGCCTAGCAAGGCTGTTCTGTCCAGGTGACCTGATTATCTAGGGCTGGTTCTTTTTGTGTCAACTGTTCAGTCCTTTGTTTTGTTAATGTGCTTTAGTATCATTTCTCTAATTTTCATCTTCTGCATCAGTCAAGTGAGGGCATAATGCCTTTTCAGTAATTAGGGCAATTCCGTTCTAGTTGAATCCTATAAAAAGCCCTCTTCTGGGTCTCTTTAAGCCTAGAAACCTTTATCTCTTGTTCTTTCTTCAAGCCATTGTGCTTTTCCTTCATCTGTTTGTAATTTAGCTGCTCTATTTTTCTTGGTTTTGCCTTTCTTTTACCAGGTAGAATCTATTAAGTTCTTTTCAATTGGTAGGAAGTTAAGGATGAGGAAAGAGAAGGGAAAAGGCAAGCAGCATTCCAATTTACACCTTGAGCCTCTCTTTTCACTACGCAATTCACCTTCCGTATCTTTTAAAAATTTCTTGTAGGTATAAATGTGTGTATACATGATCAAACCACAATAATGTCAGCAGCATTTTTCAAGTTTTAAGGCAAATAACAATATAAGCTTTTTTTGCACAGTTCACCACTCATCCATTGTAAACCGAGTTTCCAAGAATTGGAGTCTACAAATTTATTTCAAATCCACTCTAGTGACAAGAATTTGGAAATTAAGACTGGTTCGTGAAGCTCGAACACAAATAACTGGAGAATGGTGGAGAAAAAACTGGTTAAACAATAGGAAAAAATAGAGGGGATAACAAAATGCATTATATCTTTCACTAAAATGAAGGAATTTTATGAGCTTGATTCTTATATGCACATGCATAGATATATATATTGATAAACATGTTCAACTTCTGCCCACATTTGCAGTGTAAATTTATCCAATATGCTGAAAACACGCATTCTCACTCTCAGCCACTTTTTTTCAAATTGCTCGTCTTATCAATCACTCCATTTCTATTATTTGCATGCTCTTTCAATGAAGATATGATCACAGATTGTTCAAGCATCCAACTCAAAACCAATTGAAAAAGAGTGGAGAGGTTGCTTAATCATATAAACCAACCTTGGTCAACCCAAACCAAGTAATGTTGGATACAAGCTCTCTTACACCTTCCATTACTTGGAATGCAGGCTCAAATGTGTCACTAACAAACAAGCATACAAGTATGCATACCAGGAAATTCAAATATGCAAGAGCCTTGGTTCATTAACCAACAAGATCCAGATTGATACCGTTAAAACATCCACCTCAAAACCAACTGGCATCAAGTGGTGAGGCCCCTGGCAATAAATCAACCTGGGATGGCCCTACTCATTCTATGTAAGCTACAAGTTGTCTTTACATGAACACCAAAAGTATAAAAAGAACATCAAA